AAAGTAGTACCACCCCCTATTTGGTGCAGGAGTTTCGTTCAAATTGTATGCTGCGTGGAAACTCCACAGGAGAAGCATCCTCATGGTACACTTTCCTCCATAATTCAAGAAAGCCCAACAGAACTCTCCAACCATTGGGCGCTAATCGCCCCGGAGTCAAGGAAAAATAATGTAAAATAAGACAAATGGGAGAGGACATGGGGAATCTTAGCCCAACCTCAAGCATCTCCTCGTAAACAACAATATCAGCAGAAGAGTTGTCACAAGCAAGCTCGCCCAACTCAGCCCGACAGCACAACACGGTTGGAGGAATGCGATAAGCATAAACAAGCCTTGAGATATCTTTTATCTGAATGAAACATACTATAAAGGGTACTTACTTTAGACCCATTATCATCGAGTCCCACTTTGTCTTTGCGCTTCTTCTTTCGGGGCCGTATGGAGTAGTCTAAGCCACCATTCGGGAAGTCTTGAGGAACTTGGATTAGAGGAGTCACAGTTAGGTCCTGATCATCAAAAACAGCACTCAAAGCTTCCTTGCAGCCTGCAGTGTCTAGCCTAACACTGGAAGGGGTGCCTGACCGCCTTTGCTCATCTAAACAAGGCAACCCAACACTTGGAAGGGCGCCTGACTGCCTTTACTCGCCAAAACGGAGTAGCCCAGCAATTGGAGAGGTGTCTGGCCCTTCAAAATTGCGCAAAATAGCACTTTTGGCACCCAAATCAGCGCCTATGGTGCCCGGATCAGCGCTTGGAGTGGCGCCCAGATTTGCCCTACACCCAGGCTGCTGCCCAGCTCTCCCCGCTGCTCCCTGGGCCGGTTTCTTGCACCTTCAAGTGAAAAAATATTGTTGCCCAGTGCTCGTGAGTTACCCAGGACAACAGAATCAGCACTGCCCAGCGCGTCTGAGCTGTCCAGGATAGTAGAATCAGCGTCTAAGTTGCTGCCCAGTGCGCTTGAGCTGTTCAGGACAGTAGTGCCAACACGTAGGCTGCTGCCCAGCACGCCTGAGCTGTCCAAGACAGCAGAACCAACGCTCAGACAGTTGCCTAGCACGCCAGAACTGCCTAAGACAACCTCCATTTTTGCTGCCCATCTCGCCTATGATGTTCATTCTTTTTCCTGCGTGCCTACCCAGGTTGGAAATCTTGCCAAAAACGCTAAAATCCACATGTGAGGCGCCTGAACCAGTGCCTGAAGGCGCTTGCATGGGCTGCTGGTGCGCACACACAGCAGCGACGGCCAGCGAAGATTTTCCCCCTCCTCCTCCTTCAACCCTTGCAACTCCAAAGGCTCCAAGATGACTTTTTTCAGTCCCAATTTCACCACTCCTCATGGCACCAGTTGAGCTTTTTTATCCCACCTCCTTCAAATCTCTAATACCCACTTCAAAAAGTCCACCCAAGAATACCAACAAAATGATCTTGAAAGATTTCAAGCCCCCTTCTCTCAAGTCTCAATGGAATGGAAAGAACTTAGCTCACAAGAATGGGCTCTCAAGGTTTTCAAGAGATGGGTGCTCAATCTTAAAGTGAATGAAATGGGTAGAATGAAGAAGAAGGTCATATTTATAGCCTAGGGTTTTTAAAGAGGGAAAAACCCAAATTGAAAGTTATGGGCTCTTCTAAAAATCTTAGCAAAAGTGGAAAAAGCTTGAAGCATGCAAAACAAATATGCATTGTGGAGGGAAAGAGTCATCTAGCAAAGGAAGTCTCCACCACTTATAATTCAAGGAGCAAACTAATGCATCATTCTTCAAATTTTCTTGAACACGGGGTATTGGGGGGTAAATGATGGGTCAAGCCCAAATGACCCAATCTATGTGGAAAGTCCAAATCCCAATTGAAGAGCCCAACCTCATAAAAGATCCATTAATCTCAAGATAGTCCAAGACCAGTCAGACACTCTGCTTAGCCACGTCATCAAGAGGGAGAGTATGGGGGCCTTACCTACACCGCAGAAGGAAACGGTTCACCCTCACCTTATCTTTGACTGCATCTCGTGGAGAGCTCCTCAACCACCTCACCCGTTGAGAATAAGTCATGAGCTCCATCGAAATGGTTGCTTAGTTATTGAAAAATAGTCCTAACCTATTAGGGGACTACTATAAATTGCACGTTCTACCAACACTTGGGGGGCATCACACTTAACCTAAGCACAACCTTATCCTCTCCCTCAAATCTTGTACTCTCTGCTCTCCACTCCCTTGAGTTAATAAAGTACCCAGCAACTAGAGTCATTCAAGAGTGGACGTAGGTCGAGTTGACCGAAACACTATAAATTGCTTGTGTCTCTCAATCTCCTTACCGTATTCTTGCATTTATTATTCACACTTGAAAGGTAGTGTGCAAAAACTATTTTGTGTATCATCAGAATTTGTAAATACGAAATTAAACTTCAGGGATTGTTAAGGGATTGATTAACATTTTTTTTCTCTTTAAATATCAAAAGTAATTCATCATTAAAAATTTAATTAAAAAATTCACATTGATAAACTAATTAGGGGTGTTAAAGGTAGTTACAATTTTTTCATTGGTCCCAATAAAAGACGTCAAAAACTGTCAGCTGGGTGTGCAATTCAATCAAGTGATCCAAATCTCAACCTAACCATGATCTCAGTTGGGCAAAGATTTGACTCCGGTTAAAAAGTATATCATTTTTTCATTAAATTTAATTTTAATGAAATTATCAAATTTAAAATTTAAATATCTGAATATAACCCGAACAAATGGTACAACAATAAATGCATGTAATACCTAAACACTATCACGTTAACCATGTACACATTCTTGAACCAGCTTACCATAAGAATACTCAATTTTTGCTCGTTATGTTCCACAACAACCATTACATATTGTCAATGAATTCTACTATTAACCCTAATAGTTAACTTAAGTGGTAATGGAAAAGAGTTGTAAATTCAAATATCTTGAATTTAAATTTTAGTAATTCATTGAAGTCGGGTCATAAGAGATTTATCTCTCATAAATACCCTAGTTCTAAAGTGGATGACCTGTCTTTGTTCAAAATTGCGTAAGCTTGACCGAACACCCTGAACGTTGAACAAAAAAAAAAAAATTAGTTCTACTATTATTTTTAAACTAAACTTTGAAAGTGGCAAGAAATGTGGAAGTAACCCAAATATTTTAAATCTATATAATAAAATAGAATATAATTCAAATATCATAAGATAACAAAATGATTTTTATTTTTTATGGTTGAAATCTCTTTAAATTTTACTTTAAAGTTAATATAATGAATAATATTAATTTCCCAAATTTAATAGGAAAGAGAGGGCCCTAAATGTGTGTTTGAGATGATTTTTGAAAAGTATTTTTAAAACTTATAACTTTTCATAAGTACTTTAAAAAAAAGTAGTGTTTAGAATCGTCTCTCGACCATCACCATTACAACCACCACCAACGCCCTACCACCACCCCCATCACGATCACCACATCCACCATCATAACTGTCGTCACTCATGGTTATCACTATCATCATCGTTACTTAAAACTTATTACCACCATCACTGTTGCGACCCACGATTGTCACCACCACCACGGTCGTAACTACCCACTATAATCACCATCAGTGTCTCCCACCACCACTATTACTGCTCACTCCTATTATAATCGGTGTTTAAATTTATTTACCTTTTTTTATGATTTAATTTTAAGTGTAAATAAAAATATATTTATTGTTGATCATTTTTTTTAACAACTAGTTTTATTCAATTGAAATACAAAATAAAAAATGTGTATGGACTTTGAAATGAGTTGAGGCAAGCAACCTGATTTTTGTTATAATATTTGAATGTTAATTAGTTTATCAAATCAAAACTAAAATATTGAACTAGCTCAAAATTGAACTTAATTTATACTATTATTTTGAACTAAATTGAGTTGAGTCGGGCCAAATATGTCATACCTCTTTTTAACTTAATTTTTTATTTAATATTATACTTAAAAAGTTGAATTTTCAATTTATAAAACACACAACAATTATAAAGATTAATATAATTTTTATCTACTTTGATCCAATAGTACAAAATTTATTCCAAATTTATTTTTTGCCCAAAAATATTATTTTTCTGCACGACTCAAATGTTTGACAATTCAAGTAATTAACATTTACTTTTATCTTCTCTTTCTCCTACTTCTTTCTTGTATTTTCTCTTTCCATTTTAATTTAAGTTATGTAATTAAAAAATTATTATTTAAAACATAGATATTATTGGATCTATGCTTGATTGACTCTAAATTTTGCAGCACCTTCACCTCCGCTCCCCTTTCATCCTCTTGGAACAAGTGGACTTCATTTGACAACTAAACTAACCAAAACAATATAAGAATAAAAAAAAAGACAAAAGTTGTCATAAAATTAATAATTGAGCTGAATTTTACGAGTTCACTTCGAGTTTGTCGAACCCGTTTGGTAACGTTTATGTTTTTTATTTTTCATTTTTATTTTGATATTTAGAGAAAATAAGAAAAAAAAATTCGTTTGATAACCATTTTTTTTTTCTATAATCGTTTTGTAAACAATAGATGATTTTTAAAACGAAAGAAAGACGTTTTCATTTTTTAATTTTATTTTTTATTTTTTAAAAAATCAAAAATCGTAAACATTACCAAACGTTACCGATATATTCAGTTGGATAATCAGCCTAAACCACCGTATCATCCAACGATCCTGCTCAAAACAATCAAACGTTGATGACCTGCAAACAGCAACGCCTCTGATGAGTCTGATCAACTCTACTTGACACAAGACTTCCCACGTCATCGATCCGCGTCTTCACTGCTTAAACTAACCGCAACCGTCGATATTAAATCTACCCCAAAATCCCGATTAACGGCCCAAACCATCCCACCTCCCGCCACAAATTTCAAAACCCTCCTATAAAATACCCCCCACCACCACCAACATCCACCAGTGAATCCGCAGCTCTCTCTCTCTCTCTACCCTACCCTATCCTAAATCTCTCTTCGTCTCTACAATGGCTCGTACCAAGCAGACGGCTCGCAAGTCCACCGGCGGCAAAGCTCCACGGAAGCAACTTGCCACAAAGGCTGCTCGCAAGTCTGCTCCGGCCACCGGAGGTGTGAAGAAACCCCATCGTTTCCGTCCAGGCACGGTGGCTCTCCGTGAGATCAGAAAGTACCAGAAGAGCACAGAGCTTCTCATCCGGAAATTGCCGTTTCAGAGGCTTGTTCGTGAGATTGCTCAGGATTTCAAGACCGATTTGAGGTTTCAAAGCTCTGCAGTCGCGGCTCTTCAAGAGGCTGCCGAGGCATACTTGGTGGGTTTGTTTGAGGATACGAACCTGTGTGCGATTCATGCGAAGAGGGTTACGATTATGCCCAAGGACATTCAACTTGCTAGGAGAATTAGGGGCGAGAGGGCTTGAAATTGATCTAGGAAGCATACAGTTGGTTCTGTATAGACTGTTAGGCTTTCAATTTCACTTTCTGATTGTCTATTTTGTTACTGTTGAATCTCTCGTTGATCTTCTTTTGATAAAATTTTAGTTTTGTTACTTTCATTTGAATCTTTATGTATGTGTTGTGTACGTGTATCTGTTTTGGCCATTTGGGAATAAGGGTGCTTGAATTTTCAGAATGTTAGTTGAAAGATCACTCAAAAACTGACTGTTTATGGCACATGCATAAAAGCATCAAATGCAAGCGATCCCAGAGACAACCTATTTATGTATAAAACATTTTCTGAAGCTTGAAAAGAAAATCATTCTGTACTGAGAATTTTGTTTATATAGGTACACTCTATGATGGTTTTTTGTTGACTGCCAGTAAGGCTTCAATTCATGGCAAACAAAGATCCATATAGGTGTTGCTAATCTTACAGAATTTACCCGAGGTCAGTATAATTTTCCCTTCTTCATTATCATTTTTAATATAATTTAGGTTTTCTGTTCTGAAGTTTATTCATTTGAATCCAACTTGAATTCAACCATTTATTTCTCATGTGGTTATGCATTTTAGTTATTGTATTGTCTCTTTTGATATTTGTAAGTAAATAAATTTCCATATTTTGGGTTTTTCCTTTAATTTTATAGATATTTTTATAGTAACAAGGAAAGGCATACAAAAAAAGTGGTATATTGATCCAAATGTCCAAATGATGGGACATTTCTGAAATACTCCAAGATGAAGACACGTGTCCTTGGTGTCATTAATTCTTGTTATCGAGATCACGTACCCATCGGGGTCACGAGTCCCCTCTCCCCCGAGATACTGATTATAGGGATCGAGTGGCATCCAATACGTTTTTATTTACCGACACGTACAAGCTGTATGTTGACCCGGCGTATAAGCCAGTCAAACAAAAGCCACGACGTATGGCCCCGCATCACGCTTGCGCGGTTAACGAAGAAATTGATAAACTCCTGAAGACTAATGTCATTCGAGAGATACAGTTTCTAGAATAGCTGTCTAACACGGTTTGCGCGAAGAAGAAAGGGGAAAAATGACGTGTCTGCGTAGATTTCACAAATCTAAACAAGGTATGTCCCAATGATGACTACCCCCTACCAAAGGTAGACCAGCTAGTGGATGCCACTGTCGGATATGAACGCATGGACTTCCTGGATCTCCGAGCAGGATATCACCAGATCTCTCTCCCTCCCCCAGATCAGGAAAAAACGACGTTTATCACTCCGAATGGAGTTTACTGTTACAAAGTGATGCCGTTTGGACTAAAGAATGCCAGGGCGACATATCAAAGACTGATGAATCGGATGTTTAAAAAGCAGATCGACAACACCATGGAGGTCTACATTGATGCTGGTGAAGAGCAAACGAAGTTGTGATCATCTGGCAGATTTGACAGATACCTTCTCCACCTTCAGGGAGTACGGGTTGAAGCTGAACGCGGCAAAGTGCATTTTCGGAGTGGAATCGGGTAAATTTCTCGGATATCTGGTCAGTCAGCGAGGAATCGAAGCTAATCCGGATCAGATTCAAGCGATCCTGGACATCCGGAGCCCCCGAACTGTCCGAGAAGTCCAAAAGCTCACGGGGATGCTAGCAGCACTTAACTGTTTCGTCTCACGCTCCTTAGACAAATACAAACCTTTTTTCAGAACAATCAAGAGTGCTGGGAAGAATATGTGGAGCCAGGGGTGTGAAGACGTCCTAGCTGGAATCAAGGAATACCTAAGGACTCTCCCGACCTTATCCGTCCCTATCCAGGGGGAAATGCTCTTCTTGTACTTGGCCGTGTCTGAATTTGCTGTAAGCGGGGTACTTATTCGTGAGCATGAGCACCGCTAGAAGCTGATTTATTACATAAGCAAGGTGCTCCTGGACGCAGAGACAAGATACCTGCCCCTAGAGAAATTAGCTCCATCCCTGGTGACCACTGCAAGAAAATTGAGGCATTATTTTCAGGCGCACCCAATTACCGTTCTTATCGATCAGCCCTTGAAGGCCATTTTGAGGAAAGCGGAACTTTTCGAAAGGATTTCCAAGTGGACATTGGAGCTGGGGGAGCACGACATTCATTTCAAACCTCGAACAGCAGTAAAAGGTCAGGTATTGGCGGACTTCATAGCTGAGTTGTCGGGGGAACATTCCGTCCTAGGAAGACCACTCACAGGTTATTCCAAGCAGCGTGGTTGACCACTCAACTGACTCACTTGAGTTCACCAAGAGAGAGATCTGTTCTCGTTTTTATATTGTGCAAGATCTAGCACGCACAGAAAGGCATACAAAAAAAGTGGTATATTGATCCAAATGATAGTTGCTGTGATTTGCAGTTTTGTGGACTTAATATTTCCAAAATATACCCAAAAAATTGGTAAAACGGACTCACCTAAACCAGCAATGTATATTTGTCTGAAGCCATTTATAAAAAGCTACAATTGTGTAGTAGTAGAACTGTTTGATTTCTGTTCATGACTGCTGAGGGGTTTTATGATTTTTATGGATGCCATTATTTCTAAAAATTGGGACCACCCGAGCTAATGATAGAGGCAAGAAGACCTTGCCAAATCCTATTAATTGATCATAATGATATTGTGGAAATGTTGCATGGACCCATATATATAGGAATAGAAATAGAATCTCTTTAATACCAAACCAGATCGAGTCTGGGATCTTCTTGGAAATGGGAAGAATCTCCAGAAATTAAAAGAATCCCGAAACTTATTGGTGTAGATTTCTCTGAAAACTCAGCTAAAAATCCTCTAATTGTGAAGATCCACTAGTTTTGTTTCATCTTGATTGAAAATGTTTGTGGACCTAATTTATCTGAAGCCTACCAAAGATAGCAAAAGAAGACCCCCCCAATATTAGTGATATGAATTTATATGGAACCACCTCATAAATAGGCTCCAATTCTGAGGAACCACCAGTTTTCCCTCTTTTTCTCAACAGTCTTCTGTGGTGGTTGATTGTATTGTCTGTTGTTCAGGCTAGTTGCCATCATTGTAGGTCTAATGTATGTTCAATTCTCAGTGTTTGTGACAGCAGTTTCTTTTTGTCTTCCGTCTCAACTAATCAAAGATCAGGATGGCTGGGACTGTGTATTTGAAAACCAATCGGTTTGAGGTTAAACTAGAAGGCATTACTTTCAAAGCACAAGACTTTGAATCTCTATGCACAATGGATTTTCTTTTCCCAGAGTGCAAGATCTGGCTTCGACCACCTGTTGTTGGCCTTGATGTTATGCGCCACCCTCGTGACCCAAATATCATGCTGGTGCTCTTGTGCTTTGGAGCAGGTTGTGTGATCCTCAGGTTTCATTCTGGGGATTCATTACCTGATCGAATTTTCAAATTTCTTACCGATAACAGAATTCGCTTTGTGGGTTTTGGAATCCCGGAGAAGAAAGATATGTTCCCATTTCAAGAGTTGGGATTGACAAAAACCAAAGTTGACATTGGTTATTTGGCTGCAAAGCATCTTAATGATCCCAAATTTAAAAGATGTGAGCTAGCAGAGCTGGCGCGGAAGGTTCTTGGGATCAAAAGAATGGTTGGACTTACAGAGGCATCGTCTTTCGAGAGACATGAACAAATCAAATGTGCAATTTGCCAACTTTTCATATCGAATGTGATTGCCATGGCGCTTTTGGGCCAAGATAACAAGAAAAGAACAGAGGATTCTCCTAAGAAAAGCTCCTTCCTGAAGAATTTGAATTCTCTGGCATTGTTGAATGAAGGATGGTTGAAATTATCCAAGAAAACATTGCTGAGTGAAGGATGGTTCAAATTACACAAAGCCAAGAAAGACAATGATAAGGATCAATCTATTGAAAGCGGCTATGGTGTTTGTGTTCACGTCAATGGTGAAGAAGATGCAATGGTTATCAATGATATATTTCATACCAGAGGCAATGGGAATACAACTCCAAGTGATGATTCAAGCAAAGAAGCGGTTTCTTCGATGAAAATGCCCATGAAAGGAATCCTGAAATCTCCAGCAACAGAATTCCAAGGTTGTAATCTCTCTCCTCCCAATCTTTGTTCCCCTCCATCCAAATCTAAGGTGCAGCAAACTGCTACAGGTCCATATTTGAAAAGAGCCAACTCCAAGGGGCACAATGTATCATTCAAATACTGATACGAATTGGTCCTGTTTAGCTTAGCAATTTGAGCAATTTGTCTTGCAGTGTTTATTTGATTCATGTAAGTTGTAATTATTATCCACTCAGTTTTTTTTCTTTATTTGATATGTAAAATTTGGTTACCTTTTTTATTTCCTCCCCTTTTTTTTATCAACATTTCAATTGGTGCACATTAGTATATGGTAGGTTTAGTTCCAAAGGGAAAATGCTATTTTGACTTAATTTGAAGATTTAATCTGGAAAGTGGGAACTTAATCAATTATAATTGTCGGATTAAAAGTGAGTTTCATATTACATTGAAACTCAGAACTAATCTAATAATTGTATTAAATTAAGTTCCTATAGCATTATTTTGTGGGAAACCATCTTACCCATCATATTTCTTAATCAATTCATACCCTTTTGTTTAGGAATAAAATTGTAAGAGTGCACTCTTAACCCTACTCCTCTCTTTTAGATGTTATTCCTTTATTATTATTTTTAATGGTTTTTTGACTGAATAGCAAAAAAATAAAAAACTGCTTTGACTATATTGGCATTCAAAAAGAATGACAACCCACTAGTTCATGACTCTCATCGTTGTGAAATTTGAAGAGATTTTCATTTTTGTATTCCTTCCTCACATGTTGAAAGATTGTATACGTGACTAATCAAACTTATATCACAAAATAATATATTGTTGTTGCACCAAAGTCCGCTCTCTCATACCACACTACATTAAGCATGTGATGAGATAATTGCTTCTCTCTTTTGGTCACTAGTGTTGGTTTATTTTTAATTTTAAGCATCCTTTGAAATCCTTCTATGCGCTCCTCAGCCTAAATAGGATCAACTATGATCCAATGAGTATTTGAGAAAATTGATTTAATTTATTGATCTAATGACATATCAAGTGATACAGTTTCAATGAAAGAGTCTAACCGTTATAATCATAGCAACATTATTAAACCATGTCATTTATATATCATTATATCAACAAATTAAGTCAAATTTTTATGTCTCAATAACATTACTCATAACCTACGAGTACATCAATATCAAATGAAGAGTCCACTATAATTAGGGGTGTTAATATGTGTCGTGCTGTTATTATTCATAGTGAAAATTGGAAGTAAGTCCCTCTAGATATACTTGTTTGGAGGTAAGTCCTGCAAGGAATCTTATAAGAGACTAACTCCATGTTTAAAATTATATGTAATGACTTAAGTTCACTTTTTTTTTATCTCAAAAATACCCTTCCTTGAAAGGAAGTTAATCTTTTCTCTCTCATATCTATCTATATCCATATATAGGTTAAGAGTTTGACTAATATTAAAATTTTTCTTCTCTTTTATCTCTCTCTCTCTCTCTCTATATATATATATATATCTATAGTAACATTAAAAATAAAAAATAGTAACATTCAAATTTATATTACTATTTTTTTATTATGTTATTGTTTATGTTATTACATTTGTTGAGTATGTTATTGTTCATATACTATTATTTTTTAGCATGTTATAGTTTTTTTTAAGTATGTTAATATTATTATTTTTCTAAATGTTAATATTCAATGTTACTATTTTTTTTTTTGAATATTACTATTTTTTGTATTTGAATGGTACTATTTTTTGCGTTTGAATTTGAGAGAAATAATTATTGGTAAGTATGTTACAGTTTTTGTTAAGTGTGTTATTATTTTTGTTGAACATGTTATTGTTGTTATTTTTTAAAAATATTAATATTGAATGTTTCAATTTTTTTATGTTTAAATGTATTATTTTTTTGGTGTATATGTAGGTTAAAAATTAGGAGTTTTTAATTTTTAATTTTATTTCACTTCTAAAGGGAAGGGATAGTATGATAAAATTGACAAAAAATGAATTTAATAACAAATAAATTTTCTTGACGGACTTAATTCCAAACAAATCCATTTAGATATAAGGGATCGGTCTCCAAATTTTCCTTATTCATATTGTGTTCATGTCAAAACCTCCGAAAAAATATCTATTTAGTGTGTTCTAAATATCAAACATTAAATTAGACTATTTATTATGCGTATTTAATAATCATATTTTGTAGAGTTTGTGTCACTTTCGTATCAATAGGTCAGAGATAATCACCTGTGATCACCTCCTTCAAACCTTGCCACAATGTTGACTAAAAAAAGTCCACCAGATCCATAAGAACAGGAAATTCATCATCTCCAGTTGTGTTTGCAACCTGTTTACGAAAAGTCTACTTTAAAGAAATGGCAACTACCATCCATTGCTTCTAAGTAACAATTTGATGAACTTGATGAACAGAAACTCAAGCAGATCAATATTCCAACTCTCCATCTCTGATACTTAGCCCACAGAGGAGAAAACAAAAACAAAAAAAAAACATGTTTTTTCAGAAGGAATACCTCGACTTGATCTTTGTACCTACTGGGTTGCTCATCATGTTTGGTTACCATCTCTTCCTTCTATACAGATACCTCAGACTGCCTCACACCACAGTCATTGGCTTTGAAAACAATGACAAGAAAGCTTGGGTTGAGAGAATTATGCAGGTCAAGTAAACTATTTCTCTTGCATTTTTTAAAAATTTTTACTCATTGAAATTAGGCAAAATTATGTCTAATTGTTGGTTTACATGTTGCTTTGGAGAAGAGATGATTCGTCGGGATTTGTTTTATTGTTAAGACAATGTTTTTTTTCACAGTTTTTTCATTGACTTATTGGTAATAGCAATATATAGGTTGTTCAATCTGTGACTGTGACATCCCTATGCTCTTTGTAACAATTTATATTTACATTATGATCTCAATTGAGACATGATGAATATTAAACTCTTCTCAATCTCCTCCTGGATAGGTTACAACCCTAACATTTTGTGGGTTTCTTCAGGTTGATAACAAGGATGTTGGGACAGCAGTAACTGTGATCACATCAAACATATCCGCGGCAACCAACTTAGCAACAATCTCACTAACTCTCTGCTCTCTCATCGGAGCCTGGGTCGCGAATAATTCAAAGATCTTCCAGAGTGAACTAATCTATGGTGATACAAGGGCATCCACCATGTCAATCAAGTACATTGGCCTCCTCATATGCTTCCTCTTGGCGTTTTCGTGCTTTGTTCAATCATCAAGGTCCTTTATCCATGCAAATTATCTAATCAGCACACCAGATACTGATATTCCTGTGGAATATGTTGAGTTAGCAGTGATAAGGGGTGGTGATTTTTGGTCACTTGGGCTTAGAGCACTCTATTTTGCTACAACATTGCTCCTATGGTTTTTTGGTCCAATACCAATGTTTGCTACATCAGTAAGCATGGTGTTTCTGCTCCATCTCCTTGACACCAATACAACCCCGTTGCATCCCCATCGTTCCCTTAGGAAGCAGAAGCAGCCTGTGAAAAGGGTAGAAGAACAAGTGACTGGGGTTGCTATGTCTGTTGAGTATCTGGAGAGGTAGAACTGTAGAAGTACTAAGGTGATTGAAGTTTGAGAATATCTTATACTCCAAATAATTTCTCCCTCTTTTCATGTGATTCATAATATGTTGAATGATAAGAACTAGCATTCTTATTGATTGTAGGATTCACAGGGAAGAAAATAGACTTATCGACGGAATCAAATATGCAGTATTTGCAAAGAAAATATTCCGTTATTGGGGAGAAATCAATGAATTTTATGAAAATGAACTGTTTTATGAAAGCACAACTGTCAGGTTTATGATTCAAAGTACTGTACCATCCCTTCCCACAGTAGCTACATATTCAAGCCTTGTCCATCCTTGTCCTAAATTATCACTAGTCTTCTGGGCTCTCCAATTGGTCACAAGTTCCAATCTCATGACTATCTGCTTGTCTCGAAGAGGGGGGCGGGGGAGGGGGAAGGGTAATTATCGACTATATGTTATAGAAAAAACAGTATAAAACCGTTAGTGCAATAGATCCTTGGTTGACTCGATATATGTATATTAAACTAAAGGGGTAGATAATTTGGCGCGAAGCCCACTTTATAAAGTTGGAGATATCAATGGGTCTTTGGTTTAATCGTACTCTTTATCTTATAAAAACTTTGCTTTTTTGAGATCAAAGGTTCAAGTCCCTCTTCCCCAACAAAAATAAAGTTGGAGGTCCTATTTCAATTTTAAGTTTATTTCTTTTAAAATAAAGAAATATTAATTTTTATGAACTTTGACGAGCCAATGGGCTGGGACACTAGCTTATGTGGTGGACCAACTTTATGGATGCTAACTGGTCCATAGTCTGTCATGTCAAAAAGCCCAAAGACTTGACGAAGATCCTTCCTCCAGGATGCAACCGGGCTAGCCCAAGTACCAATGAAATGGTTGATTTTGGGCCAGCCCATGCGAATCCCTAGAAGTCCATGTTAGAGACAAACTACAAGACAGGACCAGCTTGGTAGTCGAAGGCTTATTTAAAGACGATGTCACTTTGGACCCATATCTGTGAGAGTAAATACTAGATATCTACAGTCACCTGTAAAGTATAGATAACAATTGAGTTCAAGAGATACCAACAAGAATCGAACCTCCTGACGTCCGGAAAATAAGTTCATGTAGGTCTAACTTCATACCGCTAAGCTACCCGCGTGAGGTAGGTAAGGTTATGATGCAAATTCGGTATCTAAAAAAAAATCTAATCGAAATTAATTATTAATTGTAGGTTTTAGTTTGAATGATTTTGAAGTAATTGATTAAAAAATAATAAATATTTAAATGTGTCACAATTTTATTAAACAAAAAATAAAAAGTATGGTGTAGAACAGAGAGTTTCATTTATTTTCACAGGATGGGTTTTTCTATAACATTGATAAGAAAATTTTGGTACAGTATCAAAATTTATCACTTTTAAGGGTATGTCTACACATTTTTAAAGATTTCGACTGCTTGAGATAATTCATAATACATTCATGAAATACCACAATTGATCATGAATGAGTCTTTCTTCCAACTCACCAAAATCAATCACTTTAAAATCGGAAGGAAAGTAGATGAAAAGTTAATTATTTGTGTTAAAATGTATCTTGAGGATGAAAATTTTGACTCAATGCAATGACACGACTCGAACACAACACGAATTTTATGATTCGAACTTAATTAATTATAACTCGACATGAACTCAAAAATGACCTGACACACGAACACAAAATATAAACGACTCATATTCAGTTCAATTCGTCAAACTTAAAATTGACATTATCAACCCGTTTATTCAAGAATAAATACTTTCTCTATTTTCTTGTGTATATAGCAACACAAAATTAACATGTTTAACTAGTATTATAAACATAAAATATTAATTATTTATTAAGTACTTACATAATTATTATATAAAAAATATATTTTACTTATTATTATTGTTATTATATTTTTTAAAGTTAATTTTTGATTTTTAAAAAAGTTTGAGCATGAATGCAATTAAGTGAAAATAGAATAGTAGTATTAAATTTTTTATTTAAAATTTATGTGAGTCCACATGAATACGAACACAAATAGGGGTGCAACCCGAACCCAACTAAAAAAAATTAGGGCTCGGGCAAGAGTTTTTAATACTTGAGTTGGACTTGAATCAAAAAACTCCAACTCAAATTCAATTTAGGTTAGGCTCGGGTTAAGGCCTCGTGAACCCGAACTTGACAAATTAAAAAAAAAAATTATATATATAAAACATTAACACTAATTTTTTATTTTTGTTCTATCATTCTCTGTTTGTTTCATTCTTTTTACCTCTCTCGTTCTCTCAATCTCTCTCGTTAAAAATTTGGTTAAAGTTATTGGTTGTTAATTTAGCTGAATATTATGTAATATATATATTAGGCTTAAAACGACAAGCCTATTTTGAGTTCTACCCGAATTGAACCCGTAAAGTAATTCGAAATCAACCTGAAAACATCAACCCGAGCCCGCCCAAATTAAACTCGGGCAGTGCTCGGGTTGAGTTGTTCAACCCGAGGTAGGTTAGGGTTAGAGTTAAGGTTAAAGATTATATATCTAGGGTTGATTGTGCAATTTGCCCAACCCGCCCGAGTTGTACCCCTAAACACAAATACATGAAAATAAACAAATCAACTCGACACGATACGATTAGTTAAATGAGTTGAATTAAGTTTGACTAATATTCGATACGAACCCACAATTACTTAACACGAACATGATACGACACGACTCAATTATTACTCTTAAAAAAAATAATTATTTTTATTTTTCATTAATTTTATCAAATATAAAAAATATATATATAATTCTTACTTTTTTTTTCTTTAAAAGATAAAAATATATTACTGTAATTTTTTATCCATCTTTTTTCCATCATTTCTCCCAAAACTAAACATTTTTGTGTAGGTCAGAGTCGATTTAATTGCTGGCGGTGGCAGAATAGAGAGCAGGCTGACACACTTCCACAACTTTTAAGAGCTACTACGTTCAGTAGTACGTAGATGCTGCAATGCAATGCAAAGCAAAGCAAAGCAATAGTACACATCGGTTAAAACAGTGTGTGTACGTTATAAATAAACAGCACTTGTACCAAGGTTTGCCTATTTAAGCACCTCTGCTCCAGCACTGGGACTTTTTCCCTGGGAAAATGGTCTAAGAGGAAAGACATTTGTATTTTTCCCATAAATATATATATATATATATATTATACTTACCAAAATTTTTACTAAAAAAATATTTTTATGAAATGAATCGGCAACTTTATAATTAATAAAAAAAAATTTGATCAATATTTAGTGGGTCCAAGAGTGATTGAAATATTTTTTTATTAAAGGTTTAATATGCATAGCATTTTTCCAAAAAAATGGAAAAGAGAGAGGAAGTATTATGTAGAGGTTAAGGTTGTAAGTCGTGTTTGTGTTTGGTTGTGTTTGTATCGTATTATTTTAGATTTATGTTAAGCGTTAAATAATTCTGATTCAACTCGTTTAACTAATTAGATCATATAGTATCGATTTATTAATTTTTTTGTCATATTTGTGTTAACCCATGTAACCCGTAAATAAAAAATTTAACTCTCAGTTTTATATATAAAATTTTATTATTACTTAATTAAATTTATGCTAATAAAAAACTTAATAAATATAATAATAAAAATAAGTGAAAATATTTTTTTGGTACAAAAATTAGGTCACTACTTGATATAATATAATAATAATTGATAATTTTATAATACAACTTAAACATAATAATCGTGTTAATTTCATAAGTAATAGTGGTGGAATTCGAATTAGGGTTATCATATTTTGATCTTAATCGTCTTTGTGTTTTCTGGAGAGGTCTTTCTCTTCTATTGATCTAATTTAGCTGCTAGATATAATTTTTTTTCCATTTGCTTTTTTAAGTAATTAGCAACAAAAAAATAAAATAAAAATGAATATGGGTTAAGATATTCCTTTAATCCAACCAACTATGCAAATGATCAACTTGTGCCACCTTGTGACCCTATTGAAAATATGTCATGTGAATTAATAGCTTTAATTTTATTTTAAAAAAAGAAAGAAAATGTATCTTGCAACCACTTAAAAAATTAATCGCTCATCGTAGGAGTAATATTGTAATATTTTTGATACATTAAAAATGTAATTTAATAAATTAAATTTTTAAGAGGGTACAAAATGTAATTTGCCCTTTGAATAGATTTTTTCCATGTACACGACCTACACCCTATAAAAAAACCTCCAAGTATAGAGCTAGGATTAAGTAATGTACGTGAGTGATTAGAGGCTGACGTTAATAATTGCGAGCTTTGGCGGTTCCTCACCGTACGATCCCTCCAAAGCACGATGTAACCTCTTCAGTAGCCGACACCCCTCTGCCCTGACAAGGACTTGTCTAGTTCCTTTTGGCTAAGTTTTTTTTTTTGGTGGGTCCTATATATCTTTTAATCTTCTGCCACGTGTCCACTTATGTAAAAAGCGTGCTGTAAAAACAACAGAGACGTGTTTTTGTACAGTTGTGGGGTTCGAGATATTCCCACAAAATACCTTAATTTTAAGATTACCTCTTTTCATGATAATTTACTTCGTTTATGTTTTATAGAGGTACTGCACAAAATTTTAAACCTTTCCAAATGGAACAATATCTCAATTAAATAAAAGGAATAACTAGGAATCTATATTTCATTACTTGGTAGTTTTAAGGTATTGGAAAAAAAAATTTCAGTATCGTACTCAAAGATATTATTTTTTTATATTATAAAAAAAATTCATCCTTAATTAGAACTCTTATATTAAAATGATATAATTTAATCTTAAAAAATTCTAAATTTTTTTATGCCAAATCGGTACTTTAGTCTTACTCTTCATTACATCTTTTTGTTAGTTTTTTTTTTTAATTTAATGGTCAGAAAAATTTAGGGCCGTTTACGCGTATATTAATTAATATCTTTCTTAGTTTGGTTAAGAGTGAGTTATTTCTGTCGGGACTAGAGTATTCACCAGGGGATA